ATAGACTCAGAAATGAGGATATCCGCGGTAAAACCAGAGTGACCAACATAGCCCAACGGATTAGTAAGCTGAAGTGGCAATGGGCCGGCCATATAGTTCGAAGAACCGATAACCGATGGGGAAGAAAGGTTCTCGAGTGGCAGCCTCGTACCGGTAGGCGTAGTGTAGGGCGACCCCCCACTAGATGGAGTGACGACCCGGCAAGGTATATTTTATTGTAGGTTATGCAAACATTACTGTAGGTACTATGTATTCTAAATAGGTATTTACTTACCGTAGCTAGTTAGCTATAATAGCCCACAGCCCACAGGCAACTCCCCGAAGTATTTATATGCCAGCCAGTGTCAGGATAACTGCTTTTTCGACAGAGCGACTGATGTGAGTGGGGCTTTTATATAGGTTAATTAAATAAATAAAAATGTTAGTTTGTAAATTTTTTATTGATTGTTTGTGTTCAACAGCGGTTTGCAATATTCTCTTACTACTTAGAAAGTTTTCAACAATAGGAATTGTGTCACTGTAGGGACTAGCACAAACGTCTACCCACCTAAACGGAATAGGACTAACAGCACAGACTTCCTTACAGAAGTCCAAAGAACACGTCTAGACAAGGTAAGTAATTAGAAGAAAACTACAATTTAGAGATCGATTGTAAATCAAATTCACAGTACAGACACAATTAGGTTCTCTATCTAGTTAGGTTGCTCCTTAATTTTTATATAATTTGTATTATTCTGTAATAGGTAAATTAAATCTAAACCAAAATATATACTATAATACCATAGCAAAGCTACTACTATTTTATTTAGTAGTAGCTTATATAGTAGTATAGTAAATTATATATAAAAAATATGAGTATGTCTAAGGTAAGGTTAAATATAAACAAATATTTGCCTAGTGCGAATCTGACTTCCGAGCTACCGAACTGTCTTACAAGAGTAATCGCCAGACTACATTTGTATGGAAGAATGAGCGACTATAGTTCGGCCGTTCAGAGAATTCGTTCCTGACACCTATCAGTTAGTCACGACTAGTGATGGGCACAACATAACACTGAGTTCGTTACCGTTCCTCCAAAATGAACCGCCGCGTTATTTTTAAGAATATTTTCGTTTTAAATTGGCGGAATCATTTAAAATTTATATTTTAGTAATTTAAGTGGAAACCAAAAAAAGATAATATTAATATAATAAAATTGTTTTATTTATTCTTTGTTACAAAGTTACAATCTGTATTTCTATGCAATAAAGTACATTGAATTGAATGTGCGTACAGAATATTAATCAGACTCCGATTCGCTTGAGGAGGTGGTGTCTTCATCATCATCTTCGCCTACATGTATAATTATATTATTATCAATAACAGAATCAATTCTGATATCTCGGTCAAAATGTTCCACAACCAGGTTTTTAGTCTTCTCAACAACCTTTGCCCAGTCATCTCTTGTGACTTCTCCGAGGCTTCTTTTAATAGGGTCATCATCATTTTCGTGCTAAATGGAGGGGAAGTATTGTGGCGGGCGGCGTAACCTTTTATTTGAGCCCAGATTAACTCAATCGCGTTATATTGGCAATGAGACGGTGGAATTCTTAGAACGCGATGACCGTACTCCAGAGCCGGTTCATCGATTTCTAGGTAGGCTGGGCAAAAGCACGTTCTGGAACCACTCTTTAAATGTAGTGGCATTCATTTCCTCGTGGTAGTCATTTGTGATTTTTGATTGAAATGCCAGTAACGCGTTTTCCACAAAGCCGTATTTTGCAGAACCTGCGTGGCATATTATCAGACGGGCCCCTTTACCCATTGGTACTTTCGACGTCGACGCTTGTGTGTAATCCGTCCAAGAACGGGAAACCGTGTGATTGGCGTTTAGCCATGTCTCGTCATTATCCCAGTTATCAAAATTTTTTGCTTCTCTCAAAAAACCTATCCGTTTTAAAATTATGTCGTATCGTTCTAATAAAATTTTTCTTTTGTTTGTTTTTTATACGAAAAACCAATATCTTTTAAGATTTTGTTAAAGCAGTTTTACCCCCGCTAAACAATCCAGCTTCTCTTAACGATGCCAAAAGCTTCTTCCTGTTGAGATATTCATTTCTAGAATAGTAACCATATATAAGATTTCTGATTGCATCGGCGTCAAAGGTGTCAATATCTGTCACGGGTTTAGTTCTATGTTTCTTCTTCGGAGTACATAAAATATTATCTTCCGTGCCAGTAGAGCCAAACTTTTCTTTATTAATATTTGTTATCGTTCTTGTACTTGTTCGACAGGTAACAGGGGTCCGCCATTTTGCCGCTCCCGCTCAAAGTAATCTTGCAGCTTGATTAACTCACGGAAACCACTTTTCAATGTTTGTCCACGTTTAGGCATTATTATGCACCAAAAGTAAAAAGAACGCAATACAAAACACAATCGAAGTCCGATTTAGTGCTGATGTCAGTTTGAAAAGCAGAAACAGTCCATTGAACGAAAGCCGGGTAATTAAATAAAAACAGATCGAAAACACTTGAAGAACGTGGTCTATGCGCACGAAACCACAACAGACGACTGTTTTAGCGCCCATAACGCCATTTGGGGTTACCATTTTCAACCTAAATATAAAAATGCTACTTTCTTTCGCGCGTTCGGTTTGGTCGTAGTTTTATTTTTATATTTAATAAAAGTTATCATAGTCCATTATTTTCAAATTCTTAAAAAGAAAAACAAAACGTATTATTTTATAAAGTATAACTATATAAGAACAGATTACGATACTGTTATTGCCTGTTATTGTTAGCACAGCACTACAAATATAAAGCGCTGACATAACCTTGTAATAGCGCAGTATAGATTTAGAAAAATATTATTTACCAAGTTATTTGAAACTCAGTTTGGCACAAAATTATAACATTCATTGATTATTGATATAATGTTGTTTTAATGCTCATCAATTGTTAAAACGGTAAACAACCAGCAAAAATATTTTTATCGTAACTGCAACGCCATTACAAAATTACGTCGTCAGTTCAATCGCGACGTGTCAGGAACGCATTCTCTGAACGGCCGAACTACAGTATACCCTTACACATGAAGGACGTCTAAAAACGGTTCTAAGACCCGTTGGAATACTAAACAGCAATTAAACAAATATTTTTATTATGTCGTACGTATTGCTTAATTATTATATTTTAACCGTTGGGATGTAGTTAGAAACTGAAACGACACTCCTCAAGTGGGTGTGTGACAATTTGTTCAGCTGTGGGCATGTGACCTACACCATAGCATTAGAGTGATGATGATATAATAAATAAAAGTATGAAAAATGAATAAAATGTATCTGAAAAGTTGTTGCAATGTATTATTTATTATCTACATTCGGTTTTGTTTAAATATTTCGTTTGGAGATACAGTGTGGTACTGCAAAATTGAAGCTTCATTTCGTGAAACAAGTGCAATAAAATTAAACACAAAATAATGATTAATATGATTAAGAAATAGTGGTAAAAGAGCTTTTATTTGACATTTCTCACAAAATATTTTCTTTAATACGGATTTTGGAGTCTCCGTATTGCGAACAAATTGCTTCTGTGTTCGAGCTGTTCATTATAAGTTTGCCAAATTTTTCATAAAATAGTCCCTAAGATAAACGTGTCTAATTGAGTCACACCCATACAAAGGAGTACACTAGGAGTCTATAAGAGCAGACATAGTTTATATAAACTTTACTATGAAATGTGATATAATCCTAGCGTTGAATTTACCCTATATGTAAAAAAATATTCATTTATAGAGTATGCTGCACAGCCAAGTATTTGTATTTGAGCAACAAAACTGAGTCGGCTTCCAATAGAATTAAAATGAAATGGAGTATAATTAATAGTGAAACTGATAAGGTTAACTCCCGCAATTAAAACTACCAGTTAATTATAACGACAAATTAACTGAATGCGGCGACGAGGTTCACCACCCGTCACGTTCTGTCTCCCGGAGAGGCGAAAAGTGGATAGCAGAGGCCCGTCTGGCTACGTTGAATGTATGTGGGGCAATGAATGATAAAATGGATTAAGTATGCGATATGATGTATGATAGAGGAATAGATGTGTTATGTGTAAATGAGACGAAAAGCAAGGGAAAGGATGTCACTACACATGGCATGTATACCGCATACTGCGGGCATGCCAGGGAGTAGGTATCATCCTTTCAGAAAGAATGGGCCAATGTGTGAAAGAGTATGAATGTGTAAGCCCAAGACTGCTATGGATACGAATAGAAAAGGGCTTAAAGAAGTTGTTTGTGTTAGGGGTCTACGCCCCAGACATGTCTAAGCCCACTCATATCCGAGAGCAGTTTTGGGAAATGGTAAGGATGGTGATAATGAAGTGTAAGGGAAATGAAAATATTATTATGCTAGGACATTTTAATGGGGTTGTTTTTGTTGGGGTGAGGAGGCTTGGTTATGAAAGGATATTGGGAACGTTTGGTAATGAAAGTATAAATGAGAATGGTAAAAGTCTCCTCACCGTATGTATGGAAAAGAATTTTTTTGTGACGAACACTTGCTTTCGCCACAAGAGGATTCACATGTATACTTGGGAAAGAGGTGACGATAGAAGCATGATAGATTTCATAATTGTGGATGAAAGATTGAGGGGCGCAGTGGTAGATACAAGGGTTCACCGGGGTTCTAACGTAGGAACGGATCATTATTTGGTTTTATGCTGAATTAATGGTCTATTCAGGCGCTGGCGCCATTGATCATTTGTGTCTACCACTGCGTTAAAGCGTATTAGAACAGATAGGTTACAAGATGAAGGTGAGAAAAACAAGTTCAAATGTAGACTGAAAGAAAATATAAGTGGTTTGGATGAATTATGTATGAAGGAGTTAGACTTGGAGAGACGTATGGCAAAACGTAAAGAAAGGTTTAGTGGATGTAGCTACCGAAGTATGTGGTGTTAGTAAGAGAAGAAAGAATGAAAGGAAAAATAATAAGTTATGGTGGGATGATGAGATACGTATGGAAGTTGAAGCAAAGAAGAGAGCATGGCTAGATTTACTAACAACAAAGGCTGGTAATTCTAGTGGTACGAATGATTATATTGAAAAAAAGAAGGCAGTCTTTAGACATCTTAATAAGAGAGTAAAAGAAGTAGTTGAAAGAAAAAAGCAAGAAAGAACGGATAAGAATGATAGAAGAATATCGGATAACTTCCAGTCAAATATTAAAATGTTCTGGAAACTTGTAAGAACTGCCAGGGAACATTCAAAACAGCCTATGATGAATGCTATAAGAGACGAGAATGGCTATATTCTGAATGATGAAGTTTTGAGTTTAAAGAGATGGAAAGAATATTTCAAAAGCGTGTTTATGAGTGAGGAGAAAACATGTGTACTAAGTATAGTAGAAATTCCGAAAGAAGAGAAAAGAGGCAGCGAGATAAGTATAGATGAAATAATGAAAGCAATGAAAAGCATGAAAGCAGGTATGACTGCCGGATATGATAGAGTTTCACTCGAAATGCTAAGGGCTGTAGAGGAAGTTGTGGCAGGCCTGCTGCACACCTTGCTTAATTTATGCTGGGAACTGAAGCGGGTACCGGTAGACTGGTGCAAAGCCGTGATAGTCCCAGTATATAAAGGAAAAGGGTCGCAGCAAGACTGTAAAAACTACCGTGGCATCAGCCTTCTTAGCATTGTGGGAAAACTGTATGCTTAGGTACTGATTGAAAGGATCATGAAAGAAACTGATGGAAAAATTTGGGATGTGCAAGCGGGATTTAGAAAGAGAATGTGATGTACAGATCAAGTCTTTTCCATGCGCATGATCGCGGAGAAGTTTTTGGCCAAAAACCAAAAGGTTTTTTGTGCGTTCATGGACGTAGAAAAGGCATATGACAGAGTGGATAGGGATGTGCTATGGCAAACACTGAACTCATTTGGGTTGAGCGCTGGCTTGATACAGGCATTGGAGTCTCTTTGTAGGGACTCTGGTGCTTGTGTTAGGATCAACGGGGTCGACTCGGACTGGTTTGACATCCATAAAGGTGTCAGACAGGGCTGTGTGGCTTCCCCGTGGCTGTTAAACCTATTTATGAAAGTTGAGGAATGCGGTTTAAGAATGGGTGAGTTAACCATCAAATGCCTTTTGTACGCCGATGATCAAGTTATCCTTGCGTCGTCGGCGGCCGAGTTGCAAATGATGGTTACATTAATGAACAGATCATTAAAAGAAAGGGCTATGAAAGTGAACGCAAGTAAGACGAAGGTTATGGTTTTTGAAAGAGAAGAAAGTAAAACGATTTGTGAAATAAGAATAGAAGGGGAGTTGATCGAGCAAGTAGATGAGTTTGTATATTTGGGCTGCGTATTTAGCAGGGATGGGAGATATGATAAGGATATAGAACGACGAGTGAATGCGGGAAATAGAGTAAATGGGGCCCTGCACTCTATTGTGAAAGTCAAATATTGCGAAGTCAAAATGTGTCAAAAAAGGCACGTATGACAATTCACAATGCTGGTTGGTCCCTACTTTAACGTATAGTAGTGAAAGTTGGGTGTGGCAGAAGAAGCATGAGAGTAGAATCAACGCAGTAGAAATGCGGTCGTTAAGGAGTATGTTAGGGCTGAATCTGAACGACAGGGTAAGAAATTGTGTAATAAGAGAAGAGTGTGGTTTGCAAGATGATGTTGTGACCAGGATTAAGAAAGGAATGCTTCGGTGGTTTGGTCATGTGGAAAGAATGAATGAGGAAAGAGTGACAAAGAAAATTTATGTTGCAGAAGTGAATGGCAGAGTCGGAAAGGGACGTCTTAGGTGAAAATTTATCGACCAAATTGGCGATTTATTGAAAACGGGCCAAATTAGGAGTACCCTTAACCGACGAGCATGTATGCGTAGGTGTATGGATGTGAAGGAGGCGAGAGAGGTGTGTCAGGATCATGCCAAATGGAAGCCTGTAGTCTCTGCCTACCCCTCTGGGTGACAGGCGTGAGTGTTTATGTATGTAAATTAACTGAATCAGATCCGGATGTTGTAATATTTTTTGAGAAATATTGTACTGATATTCCGATCTTAACCACTAAATCACTGAATTCTTCACCAGCCGTCACTGAAATATTACTTTAACAAAATGTAAATACGTATGTAAAGAATTTTGCATTCCATAAAGTATCATCAAAAGATATTGTAAAATATTTTAAAACAAAAACCGCAAATCTATGTGAGATTTCCATTAAAGTTTTTGCGTCTATAATAGATACAGTGATTCATATATTAAAAATGTTGCTATTATTTTAATAATAGTATAAAGTACTATTTTTAATACAATGCTGATAATCTAATATGATATATTTTCCGATTTAATAAAGCATTCTAATTTTTTATTGTATTTAATATATATATATATATATATATATATATATATATATATATATATATATATATATATATATATATAGTAGTACATTGGACCCTGCCAATTTTAAACCCATTTATATACTGCCAACTCTGAGTAAAATTTTTGAAATAATTATTCTTGATCAAATTTTAAATTTTTTAAAATAAATAATTTACTTCATAAAAATCAATTCTATTCACGTATCGCTTGACAAGTGATGCGGGTGTGGAGCTGATGATATATATCTTCAATATATGGGAGAATTCCCAGGATGCTTTAGGTATATTCAGTGACCTATCCAAGGCCTTCGATTGTGTTAACACCACGGTGTAAAAAGGGGATCTTAAATTAATTGTTTCATATTTATGTAACACAACGCAAAAAGTTGTCCTTAATAGTATGACATCCTCTGAGGTGATAGTACAAATTGGCACGCCTCAGGAAATAATTCTCGGCTCCTTTCAGTTTCTTGTACATATTAATGACTTTCCTTACACAGTAGGGGATAACCATGATATAGTATAATTTGATGATGATACTTCATTAATTTAAAATGATAACTACTAAAACATAACGAAGTAAATAATGTGCTATACCTAAGTTAGTAAATTGGTTTTAAGTTAATAATTTGCATTTAAATGGCTCTAAGACTGTAGCCATGAAATTCATAACTCCAAACGTCGAACATCTAAGTACCAATGTCATTTTTAATAGGGAGGAACTGAGTCTTGTCGATACCACCATTTTTCTTGGAATCACACTACAAAAAAAGCTTCGATGGGACTCTAATATGTCAAAACCAGGGAGAAGACTTAGTTATTCAGCATATGCTGCAAAAAGATTAGAAATCTTATAAGTTTTGAAACATCTAGATGGTTTCACATTAGCTATTTCTGTAGCATAACGTCGTACGGTATTTTGCTATGGGGACTTGCGACTGATATTGAAATTATATTTGTTTTACAGAAGAGGGCCATAACTGCACCGTATGATTTAAAAAAAAAAACAAGAGTCACTCCGACTAAAATTTAAGGAAATCAATATACTAACTTTGGCCTCTCGACACATTTATTGTATCGTGTAACGTACATACACAAAAATAAAATTATTTTTATTAGGTAAATACTAGGAGCAAATATAAGCTAGTAGTACCAGTTACTCGACTCCAACGAATCAGTAATTCATACTTGGGGCAATGTGTACGCAAAACAGCATAAGTACATGGAATATACAAAATTTGACCAGTTCAAGGTTTAAAAAACTTTACTAAACTAAGTTTGTTAAAAAAGCGTTATTATAATATTAAGAAATTTATGGATGATAATAACCCCTGGGAATGAGGTAATCGTTACCAAGCTATTTCTTATTTGTTTTGTGTTGTTAATTGTGTAAAATACATGATTGTAAGCTGTAATTAAAAAAAGTCCCGCTGGGTTTCTTCCTGGTTCTTTCCAGGACAGAGTTTTTTTCGAATCAGTGTTAAATAAAACGAAAAAGTGACTTTCAATAAGTATTATTTGTAATATATATATATATATTGAATAAAAAAGTTTATGTTTCTACATCGAATGGAACACCTATGATGTCGGTAGCCGAAATCCACACGAGTAAAGCCGTAGAAAAAAGTTACCCAGTAAAATTGCGGCAAATAAAAGTATAATATCAACATTTTTGATATTTTCAACTATATCACGTAGAGCGTTGTGAACTAAATGGCCTCTCAAAGGTAATAGCGCCATAAAAGTATCGTTTATGTCCCGTAATCTTTTTAAACTGGTATTTATTCAGTAAAATTCTTTTACTGCTTATTTTTATAATTGTGATCGTGTTCTTCTGTACGTTTACATCTGAATGATTTCACTGATTAAAGCCATATTTGAACAATTTTTTATAGGATAAGCGTGATAAACGAGCACACGTTCCACCTGGTACTGTACTCCATATAAAGGGGGGTCGCACTGCACTACGCCTACTAGTAGGAGGCTGCTACTCGAGAACCTTTTTTCCCATCGGTTGTCGGTTCTTCAAGCTATATGGCCTGCCCAGTGCCTCTTCAGTTTACTAATCCGTTGGGCTATGTCGGTCATTCTAGTTCCACTGCGGATATCCTCATTTCAAAGTTTATCTCGCAGAGAAACCTCGAGCATAGCTCGCTCCTTAGCTCGTTGAGCGACCTTGAGCGTCCTCATATGGCCAGCAGTGAAGGATCACGTCTCAGATTCATAAGTCATCACTGGTAATAAATATGCTTATACTCTATGGAAGCCTGATTCATTTCCAAGCAGTACGTTGCTTAAAAATACTTGTAACTTAGGTATATAGGTTTAATTGTTAATCTGAAATAAAAATCAGCTTTTGTCTTATATAGGTAATGATGAATGACATATCAACGCTCCGGGAAGTTTACAGTCTGTAAGAACGTACAGGTTAACTACCGTAATCAGATTTGATAGACCACAAATCCTCGCTAAAACATCACCAGAACCACAAGAACTTTCGAAATCAAAAAACATCCCAATTTGAATGAAGAAGATAGCTGGATGCTACCATAGACTTGGGATCCTATGATTAATAAAATTAAATCCCAACCCAAGCATACAATGTAGTTTAGCAAGACTTCAAGATAGTATAAGTTCATACTACGTAGATCGGAACAAAAAATAATTATTTTAATCTAGAGGTAGTCCAGGTTAACTATGACATTGAAATGTCAAACACCTCAGTTCTCTCCCCCCCACCCGTAACCATGGTTGCTGTAAAGTGCTCGAAACATCACGAATATAAAATAAGATAATAAACGCGAAAAAATCCGTAAAAACTAGGTTCATTTAAAAGACGTTTTGGATCGACGAAAACGTGGTAAATTCCACTGTTAAATACTTACAGTTAAGTAACAGCCTAGCAGCCTTCTGAAATGTGTCTTATGTCCTTTTTACAATAAAATGTGCGTCTGTCACAAATTTAAAATAAATTCCTTCAACCATATGAGTGCTATTGAAAAACAAACATCCAAACGGACAAACTTTCATATTTACTTTACTATAAGGATAAGGATAAGGATATTACAAAAATATGTGCTTGTTTTATTACTCCAAGCATTTCTCTAATCTTCATCAACAGTAACCCAAAGTTATGGTTCCTAACAAAATATTTACTTTAACGTGCTGTAACAGAAAGGACCAAACTGTGTGGAATTAATTACATCAAGACATGCTCACTCTTACCTTAATGAATCCTTATTGCGCCGAATAGAGAAGACCAAAGCCGGGTTAATAGCGTTGGGTATCAAATAGATAAACTTGAATGTTGTATTAATAGTAACATAGTCCTGCTATTCTAATTTACTACGATTTTTGACAAATTTCGAAAGAAAACGGAATCAACCTTACGATTTTTTAGATTTTCAGGGATAACTAGTAAAATATATTGAATAGAAGCTGGGTGCGACTAGCCCGCCCAAAGTGTAAGCTTCCAATTTGGTACTTTTTTAAAGACGTTAATTCTCGATTAAGAATCAAAATGTAACACCCCTGAAGACTAAACTTTAATGCCTAGTTTTCAGTAAAATGGGTCTCCGGCAATGATTTCAAAAGAAACCATACGCCCATTTAAATATTTTACTCATAACTTCTACATACAAGAAAAAGTAGCGCATCTGTTATAACTCATAATACAAACGTCATAACTCGACGTAACCAGGGTCAGATTTCATAGTATAATTATCCTTTTTGAACCATTATTTAATAATGTATGGTACCACTTTCATTCATAAGTGTATATATCATAATAATAATAAGCAAAAATACCAAATTATGTTATTATAATTTTTTTGTTTTTGTTTTATCCTTAATGAATATAAAATATATTAAGTACCAATATTCAAAATTTAACTTACAATAAGTTCATTAGACAAAAATAAAGCAGAAATAAAAATAAAACCGTCAAAAAAATGAAACGAATAGATAAATTAGACGTGTGACGCCAAAATCCCGGCATGGGAATTAAGGGAACATGAAACGTCAAACGTGATATAATTTTTACAAATAGTATAAATATATTTTCCATGTACTGTTTATTTGAGGGTCTGACTCTAAACCTGGCCCTA